GACTTCTGCAGGAATACACCCTGCTTGGAGTTTTCGTAGTGTATGTGAGCAGAGAGGAAAGGAGATTACACCCATGTTCATTCATCTCTTACACCTGTAACTATGTGGTCTTCAAACTCTGTCACAAGCTGCCATGTCACAGGTATGACAGTCAGACACACAAGTCATTTTATTGGACAGACGCGGGAGATAGTGAGAGATACAGAGAGATTGATTGGATTCAGCAGGGAATGAAAGTGTGCGTGCCACTAATTCTTGTAGCGGGCGTCAAGGAGACGGCAGGGTGAATCCTAGCTCTATCTCGCCTATGTGGGGAATGCAAACTGTGGCTGTCCCCATGGCAACCGCTGACCTGCGTTGCTATAGTTTCAAAACCTTTTGTTGACAAATGTTAGAATTCACCTTTTCATTTTGCCACACATTGTAAAGGTACGCTGATGGTGTCACCTCTGACCAGTATAACACCCACTCCCTATCTCACACACGCACACATACACACGCACACACATGCACACACACACACACACACACACACATGTATTTTGTCCTTGCTTTTGTAATTACACATGATAGGGTCTCATTAGAACCTGAATGCACAAAGAGCTTATATTGACATATGTGCCGAGTCCCCTTCAGCTGTCAATAATTTATCCATTTTTACTTTTGACTGTCTGACCTCATAAATATTTAACCTTAACCAAATATTTAATTGGAGTTAGTCAGACTAATTGCGAGTTTGTCTCTTTCTGTTGAGTGCAGTCAGTTTCTGTCCCATGAATGGATGCCTTTGTCTGCTATTTACTGTTACAGTTGTCTCCTACTTCCTCCCTCCGTATGTACATCTGCACATTTGGTGTGTTTAGTGTGCACTGTCTGTTTGTGTGTAAACTGTACGTGTGTATTTGTCCATGTGGTGGCATTTGAGAATGTCTTTAATCTTATTTCTTGTGAATGATGTACCTGGTTATGACACACACAGTAAGTGTGAGTATGAGTCATTGTTTAAAGAGGGGAGAAGTTGGATGTTTGACTTAGCTTGTGTCATCAGAACACGGCATTCAGGCGGAGGTTGATCTGGGAAACAGATAAGTGAGGCTGAACAGGTGAATCCAGGGGGAAATACAGAGATTTTCCTCCAGAGAATTTTAGTAAAAAAATAAAAATAAAATAAAAAGTACTTACATGTATGTGGCATTGCCTGCGCTGTACCTGAGGATTACAACTGGCATCATGACCCTCAATTCTCTTCACATCACACTTACATGAGCATCTATTTGAGTAGTATATCCCACTAATGATGCTCCATTCATTACAGGCCATTACTGTTCAATAGTTTATGGATGATAGACGCTTCTCCAGGGCTGCAGAGGACTTATGACACTCTCATCAGCTCCGCAGGCTGACTGGCCTTGGAGCAGAGCCAATGTAATGACAACAAAGGCAGTGATATTGATGAAAGTTTTTCCTCTGCCCGAACCTGACATCATCACTGATAATTGTCCCCTCATCAGTCACCTATCTTGGCGTATACTTCCATATGTGTGTGTAAATCAGTGCGAACATTAGAAGGCAGATGAGGCACGGTGTGTGGGTGGGGAGTGAGGCTGACCCCTGCCTCTGAGAGAGATGAAACTTCAGGTAATAGTAATGGCTATGACAGAGGGAGCATCTATCAGTGTGGATTTCATAAATCATCCCGGGAAATGTCATAGAGCAGCGGAAAGGTTAGGTCCCTGTGTATGTTGCTCTGCCAAGGGCAAAGTGTATAAATATCACAAAACCGCAGGAGCTATACATCAAGGGCTGGCACTGAAAATCATTTTACAGAATTTCTCAGTCGTGCTTTGACTTGCACGTTGTTGGCAAACAAGTCAAATCTCACTCATACCTGGCAATAACAGACACTTTTGAGGCATGAGAATCAAAAGAATCTCTTCACCTGGCAGCTGTAAAAACTTGTATGCAAACATTCTTTAATGATAAGAATTATCTTTTTTTTTTTTACTATCTTGTGGTTCCAGACAGGGACCGCAAGCAAAGAAACTTGTGAATATTTGCAGCACAATAGGTTCCACTGCCATAGATTTGACATCGTTTTGGGCTCTGCTGTGTTTGTATGACAGCAAAGACTAAGATTTGACCTCTGGGTGCCCCACTAGAATACACAGACTTACATGTTACTATGGGACCAGGAGTTCCTGTTGACACACGTTGCTTGTTTGTTCTATCATTTGTTTTTGATTGCTGTGTGTCTATCTTTTAGGATCGTTTAACAAGCTTCTTTATAGCCTGCCACAACAGAAGAGGCAGAAGTCGGAGAGTTACAGCCTTTATAAAGAAATACTTTTTGTTAACTGGCTGGAGGTCTTTTATGTTAATTTCTTGGTAAATAGAAGATATGATGCTGTAGGGTATGTGAGAGATAATGCGCCTGATGGAGACTGCACTGCAGTGAGCTCACCAAGCCTACATCTATCAGTATGAAATGTGTCAAGCGAGGCTGCAGCTAATGATTATTTTAATTTCTGATTAGTCTATAAAACATCTGAAAATAGCTAAAAATGGTAATCACAATTTCCAAGAGCCCAGTTGTCTTGTTTTATCTGACCAACAGTCTAAAACCAGAGAATAATTCATTTACCATAATGCAAGGGAAGGACAGGCACATTTGAGAAGTTAGGGGCCTGAAAGATGCAATAAAGCTCCATAAGGGGGAACTGCAGAGTGGGTTGATAATTCTCTTTGGTAAGTCACAATGAGCCACCCTTCTCAGATTACACATTTGACCCAATGTCGTAATAAAAATATTGATTGTAGCCGAGTTAACTTCAGGTAGTGCACTGGCACACTGAACGGCGAACACATCGTCCACATTAATTATATAAAGCGTTGATCTTTGTCCCGAGACCCAAGCTGGCTCTTTTCCCTCTCATACCGGCCCAAACATATTTAGGGCACTTTTGATTTGAGGCGTTGGCAAAGTTATAATTTGGCAGACGGGCTACATTCTCCGATCCCTGCTGATAGAGTCAACTGGCACAACATCAATTCAGGCGTAACAGTAACACAACCTGGCTTTTTCTTCACTACAGCACTGGTTGAGCTGGGGACATACACTCTCCCCTACTGCTTTGATAGAAAATACTACATTAGTAATAGTTTGTGAAATAAAGGAGCAAAAAAATGTTTTATTAAACATAAAAGTCCATTTCAGGCTATTAGCATTTTTCACAATTTTCAAAAATTGACCCTGGCTGATTTAAATTGAGTACTGTACTCTGGTTAAGAGCTCCGTGGATACAGTGAAACGATAAACCACTTGTGGGCAGGCCCCTGTACAGCTCTTATTAAAGACCTCATTGTTGACTGTTTGTTCCAGGTCATTTTGTTTCACTACACTTTAAAGGGACGGTAAAACCCTGTAAGAAGAGGGAGACCCGGCCTCCGTTTGAGCGTGAATACAGCCCCTTCACTTAGCATGAATAAGGGGATGGCTCTGTGTTTCTAGGTCACTGTGTGTCCCTGAAATGAACACCTCGCCATCCACAGGGAGGGAGTGAGGAACACAAACAGAACCTAACATTTGACAACATCACATTTGTATTTAACAGGGAGCTTAGGGAGACACTTTGTTGACTGTCCCCCCCTCCCTCCCCAGACTCTTCTGTCTCCACTTTGTTTAATTAAATGGAAATTTAAAAAAAAAAAAGAGAGAGAGAGTGAGAGAGAGAATGAAATAAAATCCTTGATCTTTCATTCGGAAGTCTTTCAGATCATCAAGAAGGCCTTGATCACTCTCAGGCCCATTGGCCTCCCGTCAATGATCTCAGTAACAGACTGCAGGACGCTATCAACCTTGAAATGACAGTAAAGTAGCCATCTTGGCTATTTTTTCCCCATAACATACATCAGAGATCTGTGAAGCAACCCAAACAACTTAATGTGGGAACTTGAATTATTGTTTTTATTTATGTTTCCTTATGCTATGTGAAATATTGAGGACCTTCAAAGTAAAATATTCAATCCACGAAGAAAACATAGATTGTAGAACAAATAATAGCTTTTTTTCTTCTGCTTTCTCTTTCAAATAAACAAACCTTTGAGCAAGATGAGAATTATGTAACACACAATGCCTTTTCTTGGGTAATTTTACAGTATTTTCTTACAGTTCAGTATGTCTGTGGCTGTGCTGGCTGCAGCTGTGGCATCTGCCTTCATACCTTGTGCCAATTATCATCTGTAATACACACTCACATGGCAGGAGGTGAATCTTTGTATCTTTGACACGATATGCAATATGGCCATGCCTCATGCCTTTATGCTTTTGTCATTCCCACTGTGATAACAGTGGAGTTCTGTGAACAGTAAAGGCCACATTTTGCACATTTTGGGGAAAACGTTTTCAAGTCAAGACAAGCACAAAGAATTAAGATAACAAGCTCAATCACTCTACGAATTGAATTACCACATTTTAAACGAGTTAACTCTAGTTGCTACGTCATCAAATAATAATGAAATCCATTTCTCCCTAAACAAAAAGACAATTGCTGTGACTGCTGTCTTTGTCAAATACAATGAACAAGACTATTCAGAGACAAGAGCTGCCCTCCATACAGCCACAAAACAATGTATTATGTGGGAAAGTACCACATTCTGGTATCTGGGGGCACAGTTTTGTGTCTGTTCTGTAGATATGGAATGCAGATTATGTTTCATTGCAATCTTTTAGTCATTCTGATTACTGTGCTGGTCGATATGTAGTGTTCATGCCAAAAGGAAGGGGAAGCTCCCTTTATTAGCTCTGCTAGAAGCTACATGACAAAAGTCAGGACTCGGGGAGAGAGAAAAAAGTTCTTAACAAAAAAAGTAATAATAATAAAAATAAATTTATTTAATTTCAGGAAGACGTTTAACAAGGCACAATAATGGTTTTGCTAAACTATTTAATATGTACATAGATATTTCACATACTTAACAACTTAATTAGTCTATAACGGCAATATTTGAAACACTGTTGTAATGAGATGCAAGCTTGACAGCCTCTGTAACATATTAATGATACAGTGATAAATATGGCAGTATTACATAACAGCCATTACAAGCCATTAGAAAGATAAAATAAATATCTGTTCATGCAGATGCTGAGTGGAGGAGTACCGGGAGCTGGGAGTGAGGATTGAAAATATTCAATAATATTCATCATCAGCATTTATCAGTGGAGCAAACGCTGCAGTTTACCACGGTAAATACTACATGTAAATCACTAAAAGAGGAGCTCAGGTCAGGAATCCCAGAAAGTGAAGATCAGCCATGTTAAGCAGGAAACTAATATCACTGAGGACAAACAAGCAGTTAGAACGAGCCACTGAAACGAGCACGGTCCACCAAATGTTTTATTTTGCTCAGACGTCGTTGGCACAGACTCAAAGGTTTTGATCCTTAACCAGGGTGACTGGGAAGAAGGTGATTGTCAGGATGAAGGTTTTCTAGGTTTCCGCATTTTCTTGAGCTTTTCTTGTCTCACCGTCTCTCCCTCCAAAGAGGACAGCTCAGATATCCTGTGGATGAAAGAACGAGAGGCTCCAACCATTGGGTCTGGATACGACTGGCCTGTATGGCGAGAAGCAGAGAGGGATGAATTGAGGGAGAGAAAAGAAATATTTGGATAAGAGCTTAGCTTGAATCAAAATCCTCACACTATGCTGCTTGGTTTTTGTTCTACATCTGCTCATTTTGTGAGTAGTATTGATTTAATACTTTATATCAATTAGGGATGATGTCTTGGATATTTCTGCCTAATCAGTAAGTGCGATTGGTATTTTCAGTGTACTGCAGTAAATCTAAATAAAAGTGTACAAAAAAAGAGAAAGGTGCGGTATTTGAACTTTAAAACTGGGGAAAACAGTTGAAATGATAACCCCTCGCTCCACCTGACAAGACGAAACACTCCCTTTCTCCATGTGACCCCTTGTCCCACTTTGTAAAAAAAAAATGACGTGTTTGCTGCTAATAAATCAACGCCATAAACACGGGTACAGGTTGAAGGTTGGACTCTCCTGCTCACTTGCTGGCTCCAACGACAACAACAAATACCTGTCTTGGCTTCACAGTCATAGCATCAAGATAACTCACTTTTTTGATTTGATTGATCTTTAACAGTCAGTAGGTTGGAGGTTGGATAATGCACCTTAGGCCTGCAGAGCAGAAGGAAAGCAGAAGGGGCAGAGGTCTGATAAATAATTGAGAGAATTATCGATTGGCTTGATCTGATTTAGTTTGTAAGGGCAAAGATACCTGCTGAGCTTGCAGTTCTCAACTGAGAAGGTGTTTCTGCCATTGAGGACTAACGTGGAGGGAAAGAGGATGGCTGGACTCGTGTTCAGTTCATATCTTTCAGTGTAGCTGGAAGACAGAATTGAGGATGTTATGGACATATGATATAAAAGGCTGTTGGGATAAATCCTTTGCATTAGCATCTATATTTAGCTTTTACACTTATAGATATGTACAGTATGTTCTACCAAATATTATTTAAGGGTTAAGTACTGTGTGAACGTGAAGGCAGCTTTCTGTCTATTCACAACCAAACCAAACTGTTCCCACAAATGGAGGTCTAATAGTAATACATTATCTCATTATTGTGCAAAAATAATAATGATTTAGTTTTAGCTAGAATGATGTGCCCCGTGTTACCACAATATTAAACACTAAAAGCAATCAACTTGAAATGTTCTTTTTGTGACTGATAAATGATGCATGTCAAAATATTAATTGTATCTGGCTTCCTTTTTCCCCCCTCATATTCTTGTCACTTATCAGACAGTGACTCAGTCTAATTACTGCAATCTGTGCAGCTGTCTCCAGAACTATGCTGTGAAGAGTGCAGCTACAACTACTGCACTGAGTGACATTAATCCACGGGTTACCCCAGGGTGAAGGGCCGCCCAGCATGGCTGTGGGAAAGCTCCTTGGACAGGCTGAAAGGATGCAGGCTGCCAGGTCTGTGCACATGGTAGTCTCTTCGCAGCGGAGGAATCACAGTTCTGGTCCTCTCTAACCTCGTACCTAAGAAATAATTACATAGCCATACAGAACTGACATCTGATATGAAGACTGCAATTTCCTAAAGGGATATTTATAGACGCTATAAAGCAAAGGGGGGGGTATGGTAAATATATACCTTTCATAAATCCTTTAAATTTCAATTAAGTCTTACATTTAAAGCGACTGACCCTAACCCCTGCACTGAAATGAGACCTGTGTTCATTATATAGGAAGACAGCTCCACCTACTGGCTGTGAAGTGACAATCCAGGAACAAGCATTAAATTCAATGTGAATCTTCCATAACCAAGTCAATGCTTGGGTCAAATGTGAGCCACATATTTCTGAGTCTGGAAATATAATATAAATCTCATAAATCTGCACTAGTTAAATTCTTATTCTTACATTTCTTATCATAAAGAAAGTGTCTCCCACAGATGTCCTTCTCCAGGGCATTGTTCTCTGACTCCAGGTGGTCATCTTTGGCTAAGTTAGGTGACCTACACATAGATTTAAGAGAGAAACAAGAACCAGACATACCAGCACACATGGGGTTTATAGAAAAAGGTGAATACCACCCAGAATAAAGACATATACGGTACAGCAATGTGTGTATTATTCTCAGATCCTCAATCAAGTGCAATACCACTACGGATATCCATCTGACACAGCTTACCCTGCAGCTATGATGCCGCTAACCAACGTTTTCCAATCGCCGGACTCTACAAGAGATGAATGGTGTTCAGCATTCATTTGACATGTTACCGTGAAGCTACCTGCGACTTCAATGAGCGTACTCACTGCTCAGGGGTTGTATGGCAGGAAATTTCCTCCTCATGCGATTATTTTGTCTGAGAGCTGCTTGTCCTCCACCCGCTCCCATCCCGAAGTTCCTGTACGTCGGATATCCAACCGCATCAGGGCCGCGCTGGCTGCAATTCGAGCTCGCCCCTGATATTAAAGCCTTTGCGGTAGGTTGCGATGCATTAACCTGGTAAGTCATCATGTTGGAGCGGCCATACAAACGCTAGCTGCAGACATTAACCGGTTAGAGACCGAACACGTAACACCGGGTCATTGTAACGGGAAATTCGCACAAACGAGTCATCCCCGAGCAGCGATGCTAAAGCTGCAGCTCACTACGGTAAATGCTTCCGACTCACCGCGTCGCTATGGCAACAGGCTTCATTTGAACCGTTACTCGGTGCTAGTAACGTCAGGCCAAAAAAACCCA